CAGGCGGCGCCGCACAGACCTCGGCATCTCGCGCAGCGGGATGGAGGACGCGCAGGGCGGCGCGAAGCTCAGCAGGCACGGCCGCGCCGCCAGGCGCTTCAGCCGCGGCAATGTGGCACGGGCTCGCGGCGCTGGGCTGGCCACGAGGCCCCTGGCCTGCGCCGGGGTGACGGCCTCCGCTGCTGCGCGCCGCGATCGTGCAATGCGAGCCGCCGGAGCTGGGATAACGCGCGGAGGTCGCGGCGGCAGCGCGGGGGGCCAGAGCCCCGGGGGCCCCGCGCCAGTCTGCGGGCGGCCGCAGGCGTCTCAGTGCGGCCGCAGCTGACGACCCTGCGCTCTCGCCAGTCCGCGGCGCGCGCGAGGTGTCCGTCTGCGCGCTCGCGGACACGGCTGGCGCCATCGGGGCCGTGCAGCGTGCTGGGCGCCCATCGTCCGTGGGCGCGAGCGCCCGTGGCCAGGGCAAGGGCAGCCCCATCGGCGAATAATATTGAGCAGATAAATGTCACGGCAACGACCCTTCGAAACAGCAAGTGCGATGCGAGATTGTCTCCCAAGACCGCGTGCCTCTACCCCCGCGAATCCGCGTCTGACAGTATCAGCTTGACGGCGCGTAGGTGTGCTTCCTTGCGGCGCATGGGCACCTCCCTGAACGTGGGAACGCAGCGCAGCGACTTCCAGTTAGCGCGGCGGAGGACGCGCGAAGACACTTCAGGACAGTTTTTGTCAGACCCCCCCCTCAACGCTGCGAACATCGGGTCTGCATCGAGCAAGTCCGACTCGGCCGCGCGGGCCGCGCGGTCGCGCGGCGAAGCCGCCACCTCTCGCGCCCGCGGCCCGTGGTGGTGACGTCGTCGGCGCCCCACTCTGCGGCCATTGAGGCGCGCCCAGTCTCGCAGGCATCGGTCGCGACCACCTGCGGCGACCAGGGGGCGCCCAGCTGGGCGCGCAACGTGACGGGGACCCCGCGGAAGATCTTCGGCTCCTTCCGCGCTGATGCCGACAGTGGCCGAGCCCGCCGGTAGCCTTGCCGCGCGAAGGCGCAGACGGCGCCGAAGCAGCTGAGGCTCTCGCGGCGGCAGAGCGCCGCGAAGATGCAGTGGCCGAGGACGTGCTCGATGTCGCGGCTGGCCACCCTGGGTCGGCGCTGCGCCAGGTAGCCGAGGCCCGCGCGCAGCTGCCAGAAGCGAGGCGGCGCCCGCGTGGCCCGCGCGGGCCAGCCCTCGTGCCGCCCCCCTAGCATCATCATGTATTCCGCGGCGTCGGTCTCGTCGTGGACGGCGAGCCCGGCGGCCCCCAGTGTGGGCGCCCGAAATGGGTAGAGAGAAAATTTGTATAATGCCCAACAGCAAATGTTGTCCCAAACCAACAGCGGCCGCTGTTGGGCAAGCGGCCCTCTGTCTCACATTGACACTGGCCGCGGCGACACCGACAGCGATTCCTGTTCAAAATGAACAGGAACTGCTGTTGGGCATTGTGCCCATTCTTTCCGTACCCATTTCGGTCGCGCCACTCCAGGGCCTAGGAGGCCAGCCGCCTGGCGCGCGCCACCTCCTCCCGATCGGTGCCCGCGAAGAGCGCGTCGTCGACGTAGAGGGAATGGGTCGGCCCCGCCAGCGGCGGCGGCGGCGGCGGGAAGTCACGGCGCGCAGCTCGGGCCTGAGGGCGTCGCAGCCGTCCAGCGCGCGCTCGTGGGCCTCCTGCGCGAAGTAAAGGGCCCAGTCCCAGCCCGCCGGCGCCGCGGTCAGCTGCGGGCGCAGGCGGGCCCAAGGCGCCGCGCGGCGCCCGCCCAACCTGCCGACGCCCAGCTCGCTGGCGACCACCTCCGGCAGGCAGAACAGCAGCCGCAGGTTGGCCGGTAGCTCGCGCTGGTAGCAGGCGCTCCGGAGGCCCACCCCCGCAAAGCACAGCGGGGCGCCCGCGGGCACCTCTGGGTCCGCGAAGCCCGCGGCCGAGAAGAGGCTGACTGGCGGAGAAAGCTGAAACCGTTGGCTGCTCCTCCTGCAGTCAAGCACCATCCTGATCCGCGCGTCCTCCTCGGCCACAAAGAACACCCCGACGTCCACTATCCTGGTCTTGCCAAGCACAAAGGCGCCTCTGGAGATCCCCAAACGTCACACATTGCATGTACATGGTGCGGTTCTTTTCCAACGCAGGGTCCACGCATAACGAAGGCCCCCCCCTCCTCCACGACTGCGTCGAAGCTCGTCGGCGGCAGCAGCAAGGCGTGGTTGAGGCCCAGGAGAGAGCATCGGTCCGCTGGCCTGAGTCGGTCAGCGAGCCAGCCAGGCTCGTTCCAAAGTTGGTGCCAGCTCACGAGGCGCGGTGCACGCGGCCTCAGCAGTAGCACGTTAGATGCGTCATAGCGCAGACGCGGACGCCCCAAATGCTCTAGGCAGGCTTCCTGGGCCGACGCGGCCGTCGGGGCCTCCATCTGACGGTAGAGGCGGCGAACGTGTCGAAGCAGGAGATCGCCCATCTGGGAGAGGCGCTCTGGCGTGCACTGCGGTGCGTAGTAGCCCAAGCAAGCCCACGGTGCCCCGAATACGCTCCCCCATGGACCGGGCGCGCTGAAGACGCGCCCGGACCGAAAGGGATTATCCAGGACGGGGTCGTGGAGGAGCTGGAGCAGCAGGGGCAGCGCCAGGCAGCTTCCCGTCACCAGCGGAGGGGCCTGAGGTAGGCCGACAAAGCTGGCTGCCGTGAGGTGGCGGACGGGCCGAGCGACCTCCCGTCTGCCGAGCCCAAGTCACCCCGGGCCCTTCTTGCCAGCGGAGGCGCTCTTCTCCTCGCGCGCCTTCCGCCGTTGCTTCTGGATCACGGTCTCCTTGGCCAACTGCTCCACCGCGTGCTTCGCCAATCCCGGCGCCGCCGCGACGCCGCGACGAGCGCTCTGTTTCGAGCGCCCGATGTAGTGCTCGACGCCCTCGATCTCCACGCTGCCCATGGTCTCCTTCACCAAGTGGTACGCGCGGGCGACCGCTTCCACGCAGGCCAAGTTCGACCCGTCGACCTTGTCGCAAGTCTGGGCGAGCTCGATCGAGAGCCCCAAGAGATCGGGGGAGTGGGCCGCCGCCGAGTCCTTTGTGCAGCAACTCTCACTCATCCATTTGGTCTGACGGCCATGTGGGGTGCCGCCATGCTCGATGATGCACTCGCACAGCCACTTGTAGCTGCGCTCTCCAGACAGGGGGAAATCGTCGAGCGTCTCCTGTCGAATCTGGCTCACAGACTCGCGGAAGTCACGGTGGCGTCGGCCTTCATCACCCTCGTCTCCTGGCTGCTGGGCGGCCGAGGCGGAGGGCGCCAACTCCATGGGCACGATGAAGCCAGCGGGCAAGCCGCGGGGCCCGCTCTCGCCCCAGACCACATCCCCAGGCATCGGCAAGATCTCGTCACCACGACGGATTTCGGCGCCCACCACCTTGCTGGCTATCCAGGTCATCCCAGGCGGCGGCGCCTCCGCGCTCGCCAGCGCGCGGGCGCCGACGGGACCGGGTTGCGGTGCGGCGGTGCCCTCTGCAGGCGGCAGCTCCCTGTCGTCGGCCTCAACCTCCAACACAGGCGGCGCAGGCACCGGCGGCGGGAGGGGCGGCGGCCCCCGCGGCGGCGCGGCGCCAGCGGCCGTGGGCTGGCGCCTTGGGCCCTTGCGGCCGAAGCGACGGTAGAAGCCAGAGACGTTTCAGAAACGGACCGTAGACGGGCCGCCCACTGGGGGCGCCGTCACGTCGAGGCCAGCAGCTCGAGCATCTCGCCTGGCGACGCGCACCACGTCCAGCAGCTCAGTCACGGTGGAGTAGATGTCGAAGCGATACACGCGTCCAGCAGGCCGCTGCCGTGCAGGCGCAGAGCCGAAGTGATCGAGGCCATGTCGGCCCGTCCCTGTCGGCGCCAGAAGCGATCTCCTCGTCCTACACGTCGCCATCGGGGGTCACGATGGTCCACTTCGTCGGGGGCTGCTGCGCGCCGGCGGGCCCAATCAACACGCGCTCATGCCAGATGCTGCGGTCGTCGTCGTAGGGAAAGGTGACGACGCGGTCTGGCAATAACTTATTGAACAACTCCGCCGCCTCGGCGGCGCTCGCTCCCCTCCGACCTGAACAACCGCAGACGCAGACCATGTCGGGTGCGGCAATGACTGAAGACGCTGACGATCTGAGCGAGGATCCCAATCAGCACCAGCCCGATCGAATGTACGTATAAGGAGTCGGCGTCCGAGCCGTGCTGGACTTGCTGGGCGCGGACCTCACGCAACTCTGAGGCAAGCGAGGCGACCTCCGCGTGCATCCGTGACACGTCTGCCAGACAGCCAGAGAAATTCCGAGCGTACAGCGCGGCCCTCTCCGCCTCGCGCGAGGCCGGCTAGGCCTGCAGGGCGCCACCGCTGCCACGCAGCAGCCCAGGCCATCAGGCGTCCAGCGTGCACCACGCGCAGACCATCACCCACGAGGGAACCTGGAGAGGACGAGGGTGGGCCAACCTGCAGGTGCTGCCTGAACATAAAATGCTTGAGCGAAATAGAGCGGACTCTGTGATGCACCCGCTTCACGGTCGCTTTACAAGTCTCATCATCACCACCACCATCACAACCATCATCATCATCATCATCATCATCATCATCATCATCATCATCATCATCATCATCATCATCATCATCATCATCATCATCATCATCATCATCATGACCATCATCATACTGAGCATCATCAGCAAGAGCATCATGATCATTCGTCGTCATCGTCGTCCTCGTCATCACTTTCATAATCACCACCACAACCACCATGATTATGACTATCCTCAACAACACCTAAGGCATCATCTACGTCATCATCGTCATGACCATCGAAATAGCCATCGTCGCCGTCATCATCTTCGTCATCATTACAACCACCAACATCCACACCGACCTCTACACCATAAGAAACAACATCGCCGACGTCTTCAGAACCACCATCGTCACCATCCACATCGTCATCATCCGAAAACGTTCGTCCCAATCTGGCCTCCTCTCTGGTGATGATCGTGCTGGTCTTCCGGAAAAACTGCTGCAGGTCTGGGCTGGGCTTCTCGAGCAGCGAATCCTGTGCATAGCGGGCGATCGTACGAGCCCCATCCCAAGACGTTGATGAAACGATTGGTACAGAGATCTGGGTGGCAATTCGCAGGCAAGACTCCACATGCGGTGATCGCGAAATCCGCCGACCCCAAACGCGTGTGACAGATCCTACCTACCAGAAACTCATCACCGCTGACTTACTGTCGCTCACTCCTGACCCTCACCATCCTTCTCCTCCGTCCACCTTCTAGGACCTCTGTATATGGAATCTCTCCGCCCTACAATTCTCCCACGGAAAAAAAAACCCGACCTTCCACCCAACCCTCGAGAAAAACTACTATCTGGGAGCCAAAAAAAAGTTTTCCTGGATACGGGTCGAAATCATGGGGGCCGACCGGTCATTCACTGTCCATGGGTGCGGGCTCAAGTGGGCTTCCGCGGTGCGGATTGCTGTTGTTGTGGGTCTGCTCCTGCCTGATACTTCGGCACAATCAGTTCCCAAATCGCGCTCTCGAGCGGGACATCCTCACAATGTATACAGGAGTCGCGCTCTCGCGTGGGACTTCCTCACAATTTATTGAAACGCCGCGCCATCGACACTCAGGAATCGCGCTCTGCCTGTGGAGTCTCCCACGATTTATTTGGAAATCGTGCTGTTGCTCGGGATCGCTCGCGATTCATGCAGGACGCACGCTTGAGCAACCAGCCTGCCCCTTGTCTCTTCCTTTCATCCGTACTGTCCTCCCCTGAGGGCTGCACGAAATACACGTTGCAAATAAGCAAGCAAATAAGCAAACAAATTCGCCGGCCCAACGGGCCAGAGGCGTGCTAAGATCTCTGGTAACTGGTAAACTGTATTTCTGGTTCGCGCGCGCGGGGCGGCCCCTGTCCCTGGATCAAAAGTACCCCGGGCGGAGCCCGGGACACGCCCGGGACACGCCCGGGACACTCCCCCAGATCCTCCAGGATCGTCCCAAGAGGGCCCCAAGAGGCCCCCAACACAATCCAAGAGAGGTCCGAGACGCCCGAAGATCGCTCCACGGCGCCCAAGATGGCCTCCAGACGGCCCAAGAGGTCTCCAAGATGACCCAACAAGCCTCCAAGATGCCCCAAGAGGCCTCCAGGAGCACTCCCAAGAGGGCCCCAAGAGGCAAAAATCAATGTTTTTTTTCCCAAGGTTTTGGACAGATTTGGGCGCTTCAACCTTTTCGGTTCCCCGACAGAGGCCTCCAAGATCGCCCCAGGGCCCAAGAGGCCCTCAAAAGGGCCCCAAGACGGCTCCAAGACGGCTCCAGAGGCCTCCAAGACGGCCCAAGAGGGCCCCAAGAACGCCCCCAACACGGTCCAAGAGAGGTCCGACACGCCCGAAGATCGCCCCACGGCGCCCAAGATGGCCTCCAGACGGCCCAAGACGTCTCCAAGATTGCCCAAGAAGCCTCCAAGATGCCCCAAGAGGCCTCCAAGAGAACTCCCAAGAGGGCCCCAAGAGGCAAACAAACAATGTTTTTCCATTGGTGTTGGACAGATTTGGGCGCTTCAACCTTTTTGGTTCCCCGACGCCCCTAAACGGCTCAAGAGGCCTCCAAAATCGCCCCAAGAGGGCCCAAGAGGCCCCCAAAAGGGCCCCAAGACGGCCCAAGACGGCTCCAAGACGGCTCCAGAGGCCTCCAAGACGGCCCAAGAGGGCCCCAAGAACGCCCCCAACACGGTCCAAGAGAGGTCCGACACGCCCGAAGATCGCCCCACGGCGCCCAAGATGGCCTCCAGACGGCACAAGACGTCTCCAACCAAGATGGCCCAAGAAGCCTCCAAGATGCCCCAAGAAGCCTCCAAGAGAACTCCCAAGAGGGCCCCAAGAGGCAAACAAACAATGTTTTTTTCCGTTGGTTTTGGACAGATTTGGGCGTTTTAACCTTTTCGGTTCCCCGACGCCCCTAAACGGCTCAAGAGGCCTCCAAGATCGCCCCAAGAGGGCCCAAGAGGCCCCCAAGAGGGCCCCAAGACGGCTCCAAGACGGGCCCAGAGGCCTCCAGGACGGCCCAAGAGGGCCCCCAAAACGCCCCCAACACGGTGCAAGAGAGGTCCGAGACGCCCAAGATGGCCTCCACATGGCCCAAGACGTCTCCAAGATGACCCAAGAAGCCTCCAAGATCCCCAGGAGGTCTCCAAGTGCAATCTCAAGAGGGCCCCAAGAGGCAAGCAAACAATGTTTTTCCATAGGTTTTGGACAGATTTGGGCGCTTCAACCTTTTCGTTTCCCCGACGCCCCTAAACGGCTCAAGAGGCCTCCAAGATCGCCCCAAGAGGGCCCAAGAGGCCCCCAAGAGGGCTCCAAGATGGCCCAAAACGCCTCCAAAAGACGGCCCAAGAGGCCTCCAAGACGGCCCAAGAGGGCCCCAAGAACGCTTCAAGAACGCCCCAAGAGGGGGTTCACGAAACAGAATTTCGACCTCTCGGCCCTTAGAGGCCCCCGGGAGGCCCCAAGACGCCCTCAAAGGCCCCAAGAGGCCCCCAAGAGGCCCTCAAGAGGCCTCAAGAGGCCTCCAAAGGCCCTCTGGAGGCCTCCAAAACACCCTCAGGCCCCCAGGACGCCTCCAAGACTCCAGCCAGACGCGACTTGGAAAACGCGGGTCGGGGTGGTCCTCCTCCCCCGCGTTCGGCCTCCAGCCTCGAGCCTCGGCACTCCACGACGACGACGACGACGCCGGCGGGCGGCGGCGGCGGGCGGCGGCGGCGGCGACGACGACGACGACGACAAAGGCGCTCCTCATCGCTCCTCATCCCCCTCCTCCTTCCTCCTCCTCCTCCTCCTCTTCCTCCTCCTCCTCCTCCTCCTCGTCGTCGTCCTCCTCCTCAGGTCCAATTAGAAAAGAGATGGTAGAAGAAACGCCACAAGAGAGTGTTCCTTAACGCCCGTGTCCGCAACGCCAGAGGACATCAGGACGATAACAGAGCCAACGTTAGCATTCAAAGCCCGCCACCCTCCGACACGAGGGTTCCCCTATCGCATAAGATGTCTCTTCCCCCGGCTCGAACGGCCCCACAGCGGGATACCACGGGTAACACGCCCCCACGATGGCACCAAAGCCGTCAAAAAACTGCAAACACCTAGAAGCCCCATGACAAAACATTAACACATTTATCGACAACTACACAGCTCATGACGCCGCAGCTCCACACTGCAAACGACCACTCGCACAGGCGACCGCGGTGCGACATATGGGCCGGCGGAATGAGCGAAGCGATTTAATAAGCAAGATGTTCCCCCAAGAAGGCACGATCGAGGACGAAGAAGGCAGGTACCGAGGTTTGGGGATATACGTGTTGAACGGCACGCGGGGATATAAGAGCGAACAATATTACAATGATTGCTGTTGTTTTTTTAGTTTTTCATATTGTATATATCATAAAAGGAGAAAGAGAGAGGGAGAGAGAGAGAGAAACCAAAAAATAAGAGAAACATAAATAGCATGTTCAAACAATACTGATCCCCCTTCTGGTAACTATTGTATGTTTCGATTACAATGTTCCTTCCAGGCCTCGCATCCTTTTGTGGTAGGGCCAATGCGAAGGCACAAAACTGTGCCCACGGCCCCCGGTTTACAACCATACCGGCTCCCACCTGCTACTTCCCCACGGTTTGTTACCAAATTGCGTTTTCGCTCGGGAGTTCCTCACAGTGTATATGATAATCGCGCTCTCGCGTGGGACTTCTCACAAGTTATTCAGACACCGCGCCCTCGACAATCAGGGATGACGCTCTCGCCCACGATTGATTTGGGAATCGTACTATCGCTCGGGACCCCCTCGCGATTCCAGGTCGCACACTTTTACAGCCCGCCTACTCGACATGGCCGCCTGGGCCCGCGTTCTCGACTCGCCCGTTCGGATATGCCCTCAATACGTGCCCGCTTGGTTATGCCAGATGTTATTTGTTCTTAGCCCCCTCTCCTGCTATTCTCTCTCGTGCTCCATACTCCTCCCTCCCCCATGTCCTTCCTTTCATCCGTCCTGTCTTCCCCTGCGTTAGGGGCTGCACGAGATACACGCTGCAAATAAGAAACATGTAGCCCCAAGGTTACACGATCAAAAACGAAGAGGGTGGGTATCGAGGACTTGGAGTATACGAGTTTAATGGCATGCGAGCGAATAACAGCGAACAATTGTAAAATGAGTGGTGTTGTTGATGTTGCTTTTGTATTCTCTTTTATAAAAATGAATAAATATGATTGATCACCCTTGCACGGTAACAACCACATTTGTTCAATTACAAAGCTTTTCCCGGGGTTCGCACCGAATTGTGCCTATGGCCCCCAGTATACAACCACACTGGCTCCCGTCTGATACTTCCTCACAGTGTACTCCCAAATCGCGCTCTCGCGCGGACCGCCTTGCAATTTTTTCAAACGCCGCGCCCTCGGAGTCACGCTCTCGCTGTGGATCTCCCCACGATTTATTTTGGAATCGCGCTATCGCTCGGGACCCCCTCGCGATTCACGCAGGTCGCACGCTTCAGCAACCCTCCTGCTCGACCAGGCCACCAAGGCCCGCGTTCTCGACCCGCCCGTTCGGGTGTCCCCTCAAAATGTGCACACCTGGTTCTGGCAAATGGTTTCTGTCTTGGCACCCTCTCCTGCTACTCTCTCCCGTGCTCCATCCTCTTCCCACCCCCTTGTCCCTTCCTTCCATCCGTCCTATCTTCCCCTGCATTAGAGGCTACATGGTATGCTCGTTGCAGGTAAGAAAGATCTACCCCTGAGGGTACAATCGAAGACGAAAGGGCGGGCAGAGATGGTTCGAGCACATTAGAGCGAACAGCCTTGACATGGTTGCTGTTGTTGTTGTTGTGGTTGTTGTTGTTAAACTCTCACTACTTAAGAATATATCTTGTTGATCCCCACCTCCTGGGCACATGGTGCTTTCCCAAATGAACTGCCCTTCCCGGGGCTCGCCCCCTGGCTTGTATTTGGGAAAGCATTGGCTCTCAAACTTTTGTTGTGGCCCCGGGTTTGCAACCACACCAGC